CCAATCAATGATCCTTAAAATATCACATGACACAAAATTGGATGTCATTGCGATGGCCTATTTTTGATTCATGTGACAGCGGCGCTCGCTACGCAGTGTTTTCTGTGTGTTTTGCCTCAGCTGTGTGCTGTGTCGGGTGGCGCTTGCTCCTGCTCAAGCAGAACGCGAAACGCTGGCAAAAACAAAATTTCCGTTTGCCTCTGGGTGTGTTGCGCTAGGCTAGGAGCGAAGGAGCGGCGCTAGGAGTTTGTATAAAAAATACTATATATATATATATATATATATATATATATATCTAATACCCTCCCTCTACTCGTCTGTTCTCCCTCTACATCCTCCCTCCATCTCCCTCTACCTCCCTCCCTCCCTCTACCTCCCTCCCTCCCTCCCTCCCTCCCTTCTACCTCCCTCCCTCCCTCTACCTCCTCCCTCTACCTGCTCCCTCCCTCCCTCCCTCCCTCCCCGACCCTCTCCTCCTCCTTGCTAATTAACTTTGATGCTGAAGAGTGCTTGTTACTTTGCCAGCTGTAGGTGTCAGTGTGACTTGCATATTGAGGTGACGCGACAAGATACAGCCCCAGGAAGCGGCGGCCGGTGAACCTGCAGCTACTCGAGCTCTGACGCTCCATCGTTCTGCGATATATTATCACCATTGCATTCATCCGTACTCTTGTTTATCACCGTTGGTTCTTTTTGTTCTGATGCTTTTATCACAGTTGCTTTTTTGTTCTGATTTATATCACAGTTGATTCTTTTGTTCTGGTGTTTATCACAAGTTGTTCTTTATGCTAAATGTTCATCACGTTTTCATTTGTTCTGCATGTTTACCACAATTGATTCTTTTGTCTTATGTTTATCACAGTTCATTGTTCTGATGTTTATCACCATTGTTCAATATCTTTCTGATGTTTTATCAAGTTGTTCATTTTTTGTGGTGTTTATCACAGTTGTTCATTTGTTCTGATGTTTATCACAGTTCGTTCATTATGTTGTGCTGTTATATCACTAGTTGTTTCTTTTGTTCTGATGTTTTATCACCATTGTTTCATTTAGTTCTGTATGTTTATCACAGTGTCTTTTGTTCTGATTGTTTTATCACAGGTTGTTCTTTTGTTTCTGTGTTTATCAACAGTTGTTCTTATTGTTCTTGCCGTGTATATCACAGTTGTTCAATTTTTGGTTTGTGGTGTTTTATCAAAAGTTGCTTCTTTTGTTCTGATGTTTATTCACCGTGGTTTCTTTTGTCTCTGATGTTTATCACAGTGTGCTTCTTTTGTTTGTGTTATCACCGTGGTTCTTTTGTTCTGATGTTTCATCACAGTTGTTCATTTGTTGTGGTGTTTAATCACCGTTGTTCTTTTGTTCTGGTGTTTAACATGTGCCGTTCATCCGTTCTGCGTGTTTCATCTCTGTCATTTATTTTCTGCCCATTCATCATGAAATAAGTGATATAAGCCACGTGTGAAGCCACACTCCGGCTGCAAGGTACTATTGTACACTATACACTGCTATATCGATATATTATTTATATTTATTTATATGTAGTATTATATATTTAAGCATCATGTGCCGTGCGGTGCGTGCTGTGCGTGCTTGTGCTGCCGTTGCCGTGCGTGCCGGCCGTGCGTGTGTGTGTGTGTGTGTGTTGTTGCGTTGTGTGTGTGGTGGGGGCTGCTGTCGTGTGTGTGTCGGCTGCTGTGTGTGCTGACTGTATAGGCATGAGTGTGCTGGTGACTCAGATCCTGCTGCCTGTCTCACTTATCTCACTACATCTGACTACTCACTACAATCTACTACATACTACATCTACTTATCATCACTACACTACTACATCTATTTACCGGTTTCTTTTACTTAAAAAAAAAAACATCACTACATCTTACTACATCACTACATCTACTACAATCGTAGCTATCATCTACTAGCATCACTACATCTACTACATCTACTACATCTACTACATCTACACATCTACTACATCATTACATCACTACATACTACATCTACTAACACCTACATCAACTACATCACCTACATCTACTACATCACAATCTACTACATCACTACATCTACTACATCACTACATCATACATCACTACATCTACTACATCACTACATCTACTACATCACTACATCTACTACAATCACTACATCTACTACATCACTACAGCTACTACATCACTACATCTTACCTACATCTACTACATCACTACATCACTACATCTACTACATCACTACATTCTACTCACTCTACTACATCCTACTAGCATCTACTACATCACTACATCACTACATCACTACATCACTACATCACGTACATCTACTACATCACTACATCTACTACATCACTACAGTCACTTAATCTGAGGCTACATCTACTACATCACTACATTCTACTACATTCACATACATCACTACTCTACTACATCTACTACATCTACTACATCACTACATCTGACTATCATCACTACATTCTACTACATCTACTACATCTACTACATCTTACTACATCGAACTATCATCTACTACATCACTACATCTACTACATCACTACATCTACCTAACATCACTACAGTCTACCTTACATCACTACATCTACTAACATCTACTACATCTAAGCTACAATGCTACGACATCACTACATCTATCTACATCACTACATCTACTACATCACTACATCTACTAGCATTCTACTACATCTACTACGAATCTACTACATCACTACATCTACTACATCACTTACATCACTACATCATACCGTCTACTAACATCACTAACATCACTAACATCTACCTACATCAACTACATACTTACTACATCACTACATTCACTACATCTACTTACCGTCTACTAACATCACTACATTCTACACTACATACTACTACTATCTACTACAATCACTACATCTACTACATTCTACTACATCTGACTACATCACTACATCTACTAATCTACTACATCACTACATCTTACTACATCACTTACAATCTTACCTACATCTCACTAAATTCACTAACATCTACTACATCACTACATCTACACATCACTACATCTACTACATCACTACATCTACTACATCACTACATCACTACATCACTACATCTTACTACATCACTACATCGACTACATTCTACTACATCACTACATCACTACATCATACCATCACTACATCTACTACTCACTACATCTTACTACATCACTACGATCTACTACATCACTAACATCACTAGCATCACTACATCTACGTACATCATACTACGATCTACTACCGTATCTTACTACTCATACATTCTACTTACATCCACTACATCTACTACCGGTCTACTACATCACTACATCTACTACTCCTACATCTACGTACATCTACTACATCACTACATCACTACATTCAACTATCATCTACTAATCACTACATCTACTAACGTCTTACTAACATCACTACATTTACTACATCACTACATCTTTACTACATCATACATTACTACATTTACTAATCTACTACATCACTACATCACTACATCACTACATCACTACATCTACTACCGTCTACTAACATCACTACATCACTACATCACTACATCACTACATCTTACTACATCATTACATCTACTACTCACTACATCACACATCTACTACA